GGAGAACGCGACGACAATTATAGCTTTCATTATCTGGTGGCAGGAAAACCTTGAAGATAGCCCGCTTTGACGGTCAAAAATTTTCGTTATTTACGCTCACGTCGTTGTAAATTACATCGATATACGAAGAAGGTTTTTCTCGTTGCGTGCGCAGATGGTTGCCGACGATACAGGAATAAATGGGACCCGACTCGTTACGGAAATCATGCAACTGGCTGGTGATGTTAATCGAATTGCTGTGTTATACGGTATCGGCTCCGCAGTTAATTACGACGTCGAACGTCGATTATGTCTCCGCACTGTGATTGAAACTCCCGTAATAATCAAGTCCGGGGCTATCATCTCTCTTTCGACCTCACGTGAGAAATTATGCGGATTTTTAATTATTTAGAAAAGAATGTCACGCTTGAAGACCTCTGTCGCATTAATTCTATTATTATAACAGAACGAAAAATTTTCCGCACGCATTTATTAATTATATATAGCTTGAATTTAATGCAGAAGATAACACAATTTTTTTTAATCATTTCTTTCTCATTGTATTTTTTATCAAAGCGATATTTCAAAGAAAATTTTTGCTGACCACTCGCTATCGCGATTTATTTTCTCTGGTGTCGTAAATTACATTAGTCGAGTTTGAATTATCAGAACGTAATAGGCAAGATATGAGAGCAAGAGAACGGTGGCAGTTGCAACAAATTACGAAAACAAAAGATAATTTAGCACAGACGGTTTTTCATTCGCGGAAATAATTCGCGAGCTGTCAAGCAAGAGAATCAAATGTCTTGAGCGAAAATGTATTTATTGAACCATTCTTTTTCCTCCAGCCATTCGGCCGGACACCTCCCTTTTTTCATTCGAAACGAAATGCATATGCCAAAGTGCACCGACAGAGCCGCATACCTGAGTCGTTTTAAGTTTTTAACGCGATGACAAGCTGACGCTTATTGCGCTCGGAATAAGAGGTATGCAAGATGCATATGATATGCGATGATAAAATAAACGGAATGCATGTACGGATGATAATTGCCCTTTCATTATGCGTCAGCTTAATCTGTTTTATGTGACGCTTCAATTTCGTATATCATACTTGGCGCGCAGCGGGTGCATGAAAAATATCCCAGAAAGACTAGGTAATCAAGGTTTGCGAATTAAAAATGTGGAGAAACGAGCAGATATTAACGTACGAGCACGTGCGCTGTCATTTTCATCAGCGGGTAGACTATCGACGAGAACAAAAAATGCAGATTAAAAATAATAGTTTCTGAAATGATTGGAGTTATAATTGTATCAATCGCAGAAACAAAAATTAAGAAGATTTCTCAGATCTTTAAATACCAGACAAATCCAAAAATATTATAAAAAATATTTGAAGCGCTCTTTTTTTAAAATTATTTAAAATAATTAAAATATCGCAAAGCGCGCGCACACTTAGAAAAAAATCACCAAATTTCAAATGACGATAACTTCGTAAATAATAAAGATAGAAACGTTTCTAAAAAATGAGAATAAATCTTAGAATCTCTACTTTAAGAATCTATTTATTTCAATGTAGCGAGATAAATTTATTAAAAATGACGAATGATAAAACGAAAACATGCAAAATTGAAAAATAATGGTCCGAGTTTTCAACGTACATGACGTGAGTCAAATGTCGCAACTAAATGGGATAAAAAGCACATGATAACACAAAGTCTCCTCTTTAAAATGCTTTTTTATTCATCTCGATACGATGATTTTTCGCAGAGTTATTTGCGTTTAAAGTAAAAAGCTGCCTTTTTACTCAAATGCGAATATCTAGGTGAAAAATCATCGTATCGAGATGAATAAAAAAGCATTTTAAAGAGGAGACTTTGTGTTATCATGTGCTTTTTATCCCATTTAGTTGCGACATTTGGCTCACGTCATGTGCGTTGAAAACTCGGACCATTATTTTTCAATTTTGCATGTTTTTGTTTTATCATTCGTCATTTTTAATAAATTTATCTCGCTACATTGAAATAAATAGATTCTTAAAGTAGAGATTCTAAGATTTATTCTCATTTTTTAGAAACGTTTCTATCTTTATTATTTACGAAATTATCGTAATTTGAAATTTGGTGATTTTTTCCAAATTTTAAGTGTATCGCTTTTTTAGAGTAAGTTTATATAGAATCACATATTAAAAGTGTTTTTCACTAATTCATTACTAGTTTAACGTGACAAAATTTTAATAATTTTTTTAGAACATCAAGATGCTTATTTTTTATTTGACAAATATAAATTGAGTTCGAGCCTATCGATTGACAGGCCTTATACAGCAAAGTCAAGATGAAAGTCTAAGGTTGGGAGTTCGTTCTGCATCGCAGTGCCGGTACCTCACGGGCTGATGGTGAACTTCGTTCCCTTTCATCGACTAAAATATACGAAAAATATTCGCGGTCGAATATACAGCAGCAATATAATGCATCTACCGTTCGCGGATTTCATCGATACACAACCATTTATTTCCACTTTCATACTCACGAAAATTGCCGGTTATTATATAATAATTGAATCAGACTTACATTTTTATCTTCTATTAATTACATATTATACATACTGATTATTATCATTATTCAAATAACAGAATTTCTTTTCATGAAATATGGACATTGTAAAAATACTTAACAACATTTTTTGATGACATTATAATTGCGGGAGAACAACGCAAAACTAACTAGTCGCACTTATATAATGTTAAGAAATAGTTGTACGTAATCGATCGGTGTTGCGAGCGAAAAGCTCGATGGAATTAAAATTGTTTTCGGTCTCGGAATTGCCGCATCGATTCGCAGGATTTCGTGAAAAGCGGATATTCATTGTCTTCATCGACATGGCCACTCACGTGGCGAGAGCTGTCGCGTAAGAATTATATCTTACGACACACGCATCCACGTTGCATAAAGATAACGAGTGTCACATGCGATCAATGAGACGGGCAATAAACTCTCTAGTTACGGCTGTCACTCAATTGCGACGGAATTCTGTCTGCTTTGTTTGTCATTGCTCGAATGTAAATTCCGTAGCACTGTCCTCTGCGTACTTTCACCGTTATGTTCCGCAAGAAACAATGCAATCGTAATATTTCCTGACGATAACTTGCTCGAAAGAAATTTTTTAATGCATCTGTTTTTATTGTTAAATTTAATAACTTAAAAAACTGACATTATGTATTTGAGAAAGCAACACTATATATATATATATATATATATATATATATATATATATATATTAATAAAACAATGTTAAATAAATAATATTTCTAAAAAGTAAGAGATATTTTTATAAAATTTTGCTCTAAATTCAATAATTATTATTCATTTAAATTTATAGTAGCGTTATTAAAAATGAGATAATTACATAGCGATTATTTATTAGTGCAATCGATGTTATTATTTTCACGCCATAAGATTCTCACGCCATAAAATTCTGTTTGTTGCAAGATGGAAAACAAGCGGGACGCTTCACTATATTTCACTGCGATATTCCCTTATTACTGCCACGCTAAATGTCAAGAAGTTCTCTTCTCTTATATGATCGGGAAAGTTTTGATTTAACCTGACGATTCGTATAATTACATAAGCGATTCTCATCGCTTTTATATGATTGTGCATCACAAAATGTGAAATCGCTACAATAATCTCATTTTCCGATTTTGAGATTATTATTACGATAATGGAAAATGACTTTAGAGATTATCGCTACGATAATCTCCTTTTCGCAATAATGCTGAAAAGATTCGGTTCATTATCATCCATCTGTTAAAAATACCCATGTTTAAAAAGGTGAAAAAAAATAATTAGTACATTAAAAATAATTTATTATTATATAGAATTATTATAATATAGAAAAATTAAAATAAATTTTGGGGCAAATAACCTATGCAATATTAAAAAAAAATAGATTTTTAGTAGCAAAATTTTATTTTTCCAATATGTTGTATGCTATTTTGTCGACGGATATTTAATATTACGTTTAAATGCCAAATCAACAAATAGTAATTAAAAAGTTCTATAGCGAATAGTAATTCACTAATTACTGTATTGCTATCTTTTTGCATCGAATGAGTACTTAGCATTGAAATCTCTGAATTGAAATCTCCGAAAAATATATCTTGCAAATGCAGACATCCTTGAAATGAAAATACACGAGAGGGTCTTATATTGCAAAACCACATTTCTGAAAATCAAGGGCATTTTACGTGGTCAAGGGCTTCCCTCGATCAACGGTGGGTTATACTTGCATGTCATTTAAGCAATGTCGAGGTAGAGTTACTTATCATCAATCTCGCAATATGCATCCTACAAGGTAATACGTACTTTCGCATCTTTAAATTCTTCGTATCCTGAGAAAAATATAATAGCGCAAAATTATTATAATAAAATACAATCTTCCATCGTTGTCTCGTTATACCAATCATTAATATCAATAATAAGCGCAAATGTAAAGTTTCATTGTTTAACAGTATCAGAATGCTATTTATATTTGCACGACAAAAGAGTTAAAAATTTGTTACCGAGAACAAAGAAAACTTTCAAAGAAGCACAAATATATAATTGACATAAGAAACAACTAATGGTAATATATGATAATATCGCAAAGGCAGCGCAATAAGCGCGAACTTGTTTAGTTTACGTATTTCAATATATTAACATATTCGAAAGTTAGAAAGAGCGAGCAGCAACTCTGAGAATCATCTTACATAGCAATTTAAATATGTGATTATTGTACGATTGTACTGCGCCTATCACAACATTAATTGAATAATCATCGATTCGTCATTCGCTACCGGTATTACGGTATTACGCGGCGCACGAGATATTGCGTCACAATGCGTAGTGAAAATTGGAAGCTAAAAGAGATGCAATAGAAATTTTCAATCTCTTTGTATGGCGAATCCGCGTACTAAGATCGGTGCTGAGGTTGAGGCGGAGGTCGGGCCCATGGGCGGGTCTCGCCGCTCCCGAAGGAGGCCTATATAAGTAGACTCGCTCGGCGTTATAACGCGATCCTACACAATCACTTCTGCCTCATCAACTACCAGACATGCGTCCTCCCGTGAGTATTGTCATTTTTTTTATTTCTCTCTCGTCTATGTTTCGCTTGTTCACAATGTTAATGTCACGCGGTGCTACGACGTGTATTAATTAGTGTAATGTGTGTATAATATGTATAACATGTGAGAAATTTCTTCACTGCAGTTTTTATCAAATTAAAAATCCTTTATTCGGCGAATAAATAAAAGATATATAATCTTATAAAAATCATATCATATTAATTTTATTATAATGTTTATATATATAAACGCGCGATGTTTGTATGTGTAAAATTTATCGATATTAAACGTTATATATAATAAAACTGTAAATATTTTTAAACGCAGCTTCTTGATAAAAAAAAAATCTCGCAATAACTGTCCACACGTAATAATTAATGTAACTCATTTGCTCCTTAGAAAAGTGGAAATATGTAAAGATTATTGTTCGATAATAACAGAAGAGCGTGACATCATCGCGTCATTCCGGCTTTCCTCGAGAATGCGAGGCCATTAGAAAGTGATCCGAATGCCAAAAGTTTTTATGCAAATTCATGTCACCAGGTGCTGTTTCTCTTGTTTTGCCTCGGCCTTGCGGTCGCCCAACACAATCAACCGTATCATGCGACTACCCCAGTACCTATCTTGAAACAAATCAACAAGTAAGTGCCATAGATTATGTAATTGCATGAAAGTGACAATGCAACGAATGCATCATCGAATTCCTTCGTTGCAACAATTATATTTGATTACATCAAATAATAATATATTTTTTTCATAATTTTTTATTTTATCAGTTTATATTATATTTTTATTAAGTGCTCTTTAATAAATGAGAAGATCGACATTTCGGAGTAAAATTAGCATTTATAAGTGACATTTGTGTTTTTCGGCAGACACAACGAGGACGGTAGCTACAGTTACGGTTTCGAGGCGGCAGATGGTTCGTACAAGATCGAATCCAAGTATCCGACCGGCGAGGTTTATGGCAAATACGGCTTCCTGGACGACTCCGGTAATTTGCGCGAGATCGAGTACGGCGCGTCCAGGCGCGGCTTCGAACCGGTTGGTCCTGGGATAAACGTGCCCCCGCCGACCTTGACCGGCAACAGCATCTCCGGCGTCGGGAACGAGCCTGAGGATGACGGACAGTACCGCGAAGACCCGTCCATCTATCACACCGATCCGCGATACACCAACGGAGAACGTTACGAGAATGCGCCTAAACACAGGCAGCCACCGATCGTCTACAATCAGCAGATCGCGTCAGCTCCGATTCCGAAGCCTTACAATCAACAGAGGTGAGCATATTTGCGATAAACTTTAGCACAGATTTCACATTTTCAAACACAACTTTAATTATTAATTTTTATTATTAAAATATATACATAAGAGTTTATAGTATAGCTTATTTTAAAGTTAAGATACTCTAGTGTCGTCTATCAAAATAATTGAGTAGAGAATTAGTTTTCTGTAGCTTCAAAAAATTTTTTATCCCAAAAGGATTATCAAATTTAATCAATATTTATGTCGATCGGATTAACTCGCCGCGCAAGAGGATAACTAAATGTCAAGTGAATTACTTGAAATTTTTCAAGCACTACTTTAATTATGAATTTTTACTATTAAAATACATATATACGTAAGAATTTATAGTTTATTTTAAATTTAAGAGAATCTAGTGTCTTCTGTCAAAAAATTTGAGTAGAGAATTATTTTTCTGTATCTTTAAACAATTTTTTATTCCAAAAGAGAAGATAAAAAAATCAATGTTTATATCGCTCGGATTAAAATGCACGCGGGAGGATCAACTCGCCGCGTGAAGAGCGCAAGGAGAGAACTAAATGTCAAGTGAATTACTCGAAAGTACCAAGATCGTGACTTGCTCAACTTGACGGGGAATCGGTCGCGCCTTCACGGCTTTAACGGGAATGGAAAGAATCGAGTCGATTAACCTAATTTCTTAACTTTTCAGGTATAAAGCGCCTGTCAATTATCAGCCGGCGACGATAAATCCGGCGCGATTCCAGCCGCAATATCGACCACAGTATCGATCCCAGTATCAACCGCAGTATCAAGGTCAGCAGTTACAACCCGCGTATCCTTCACCTGCGATTCCAGCCAGTCCCCAAGGACACTCCGCGACTAATGTCGACGTTCAGGCCGGTTTAGCGTCTTACACAGTTAATTACAAACGATAAGAAGGAAAAAGTAAGAGAAAGAGAGAATCGTGTTGTGTGTACATACGTCATTATTTATCGATATTTTGTTAGTAATTAGTTAGTGTAAAGGTTCATTTAATTATTACATATATGTAATTAATTAATATTATCGTCCGAATTTCGGTGACAAACTAATTTTTCATGTTAATTTAGCGATAGACGATAGCGATAATGGCACAGTTGCATTAGTAGATATTTATGATAGTTTAATTGTATTTTGGGTTGTACTTATCTTTCATCCTAGCGAGAGTTTCGAATGAGACAATATTTTCTACCTCTATTTTTTTGACGTTTCCTCTACCTCTTTTACTTCAAGAGTTTCCATCACTCTTAATTGAAAAAATTATAACTCTTTTACACATAATCTACTTATTTTTTATTTCAACTTGTACATGTCTATTTTTTCTTTCTTTCATTTGCAATGACACATCAGCACGAAATTGATTTATGCATTTGCATTTGTAGTTATGTACTAAAAGCCTTCTAGCATTTTTTCACATAAGTTGTATTTGATAACTTGAGATTCGTCAACAGATCGATATTGCAATTTATATTTTTAAACATGTCATGTATGACACGCGAATACATATATCATGCAATGCAATATTAAGCGAGGCAAACCAGTAAATAAGATGCAGTGCAATCTATAAGATCAATAACGGATTTGACGATTCGAAGAACACGTCATTGAACGGTTTTTGGACGGCCTTGTAATGAAATTGAGCAATATATATATAACCGAATAATCTTTAATCGCAACGTAAGTACTTGGCAATAAATTCCAGTTGCATATGCCAGGTGCATACAGCGTCATGATCGAACTTCCTAGAGATTATCCTATTTAATACAGTTGAAAATGCAGTTAACATTTTTTCCCCCGCATACAAGGAACGCCGTCGGGCTATACTTGACACACCCAAGAATTTTATCGTTGTGTAACACTTAAAGACACCCGTACGAGCTACCTTCGCAATTGGTTTTTCCAGAATGTGCGCTTAATAAAAATTTGCATTGTGACGAATCGAATCATCAACAGATACTATAATCTTTTTTTATCAGTATTTTTGGAAAGAATTTTTTTTAATTTCTTAAAATTGTTCATCGATTCTAACATTCATCATAACAATATTTTATCATTATAGGAAGATATGTTTCGCATTTGTGTATAAAATTATAAAATTTGAAACTTTTAATTACAACACTGTTAATTATTGACGGAAGTGATATCATAAAAATGCTTGGAAATATTAATTAAAATATAAAAACGAAAACAAACTTTGTATATATGAGAGATACAATATATTTAATAAAATAAGTTACCATGTATCATCCTTTTATTTTTTGTATGATCAATGAGGATAACTTTCTGTATTTCATCAATTTTTTGCGTGGATATCAAAAACTCTTGGCTCGTGCCACTGTCATGTTTCAGCATCTAATCTAAGATCCTAAACTGCACGTACGAGGATTACGCGTTACGCATACCTGATACGTGGAGAGTGTCGTGGACCACCGCCCAAGTCCACCTTTCACAATATAATCCACGATCTTGTTGCGCGATCAAGTGCCTGCTGTCCAATCGAGCACATGTGTATCAAGCTATCCGTACGAGAAAAAAATATTTTATTCTCTTTCTCAGCACTTTTTACTTTCGAATTTCTTCACAAATCGATCAGAATCGTATCAATTATTAAAATACAAAAATTTGTGGAATGATTAAAAACGTGATTAAAATAAAAATACACGCGTATATAACATTTGGAAAAAATTAAGTCAATTTGTTGTTCATATCGTTAAAATATTTTAGCTAATATTGCATAAAGTAGATAGCGTAATGCACTGCGAGTGCATATAAATTTCATATACATCTCGTAATGATATTTTAAAATGGCAGTCTTTTGGAAAAATGCAGATATGATAGCATAATAGTTTGTTGACTTTGATAACGAGTGAGTTTTCATTTCCTCGTCTTTTATATGCATTTTATCACGATGCGATACGCGTACACATAGTATCCGCGTTCACTCTCGAGACATTCTGATGCAAGGCGTGGTGCGCCAGATGTCGGCAAAACTTGCTTTCCTTTACCGGCGTAATGAACACGTATAGCTTTCTTCTTTTTTTTTTTTGGTCGTAACCAAGTAATTATAAAACGACTCGATTCGCTAAGTTCGTCGCGAAAAAGTCATCCGTATCTCTCATTAAAACATAATACGACATCGCATTAAAATAACTCGGTTTTCAACGTTTCGAATTTTCACATTTTATTTCCTCAGTGTTTTAATTTGCTGAAAATATGTTATACGTTCGTGCGAGATACGTGAGAAGATGAATAAAAGAGAATATATATATATATATATATATATATATATATATTTATAAATATCCGTTTCGTCATTTACACGTACCGTTGTTGATTATTATTCACGCAATTCGCACATGCGACCTTTAATCAATTACAATTAATTATAATGAGTCAGAACACAACATCTTGGTACACGCCCATTTCTCACGTTAAAAAATATACATAAGACTAGTTAATTAACGTGGGTAACGATACTTATGTTCTGAAATTTATTATAAACTATATCATTTTTAATTTTTTATATTGAGTAGCTTGTTAACTTTATAAAATTACATATTGATGACATAATAAATTATCACGATTTAATTTTATTTTTGAGATAATTCTTTTTCTACAACACACATTTCGATACAAAAAAAATAATTATTGATATTATTTAACAAATGATTTTCTATATATTACACTTTCAATACCACACTTTTTTCAATATTAAGCTTACATCACAGAAGATATAATAAATGTAATAGGTTGAAATTACATGCAAAACGTAAATAAGATGAAGGCAGACTTGTACGTAACAAACCCATATTGGTTTTTCTCCAAACATGCTCACGTGCCGCGACGACAGAGAATGACTCTTTTTAAATAATCCCGGCGCTAATCACATCACCTTTTCTTACAGTAAGCACCAACCACATTATCGAGTTTTTGCAGATCGGAATTCCAATTGCCGCAAATGATGTGATCGAGTTGTTAGATACAAGCAATTGCTTTTGACTATTGCATAAAAATAGAAAGCGTCGTAACATTAATCTCGGATGAAGCTGCGGAGATATAGAAAAATCGATAAAAAATCGCATTTCGAAATTCGGAAAAAATTGTTATCGAACTTTATTAGAGTGCTAGGCTCATATAGATGAAAGAAGCGACATCTTATTGTTAGACAATATTCCTGGATACTCTTTGATCACATGTTGAGGAATTAATTTAGATGATTTATATTAATAAATATAAAATACATTAATAAATGTGAATGCTGATTTTTCAAATTAAAAAAAATTACAACGAGATCCATTTGATCTTTCATAAAATAATTAAGAATTTAATTAACATTTTGAAGAGATTCTTATAAATAATGCATTAATTTGTTCTTTGTTAAATTTCTGTGAAAAATATTTAATTAAAAATAGCATCTGAAATTTCTTATCAGTATTTCAGTGATGCTAGTATTTAGTTTTAAATATATACGTCACTGCTTTTTTAATCAAACAATCGGCATTGATCGAAATCATTTTAGTCGATTGATCGACGATTAATTCGACGAGACTTTGAAGCTAAGACATCGTATCGTTAATACAACCCGGGAGATTAGATCATTTTACCTAACTAAGACTAGTGATTAAGCTAATTGATTCATTATAGGATCGACGATTATACAATTTTTTCGATGGTCACACAAAATTGACCGATCTTGAGCTCCCTTTCACCGAGTGGCATTGGAGCATGCCACAAGATAGATCTTTGGCGGAACGAAATTGTGAATGCAGGCATAATCTGGGTCGTTCGCAATCATCGTCGGTCTTAATCGCGAGGTACGCCCCGTGGAAGTCTTCGTCAAACTGCATCGACGTAATCGTCTTTGAGGCCTTGAGGACATAATTGCGTTACAAACATGGGAAATAAAAAGCTTCCTTGCTCCTCTTTCTTCATTTTTATTTTATTTATTTTTTTTTTTATTTACACGATACATATTCACACTTTACAAATTCATATTTCACGTTTCGCACATCTGTCGTGTATCTCGTATAAGTAATTTAATTATAAAATTAATGTAACAAAATTATAAAACTTATAAAATATGAAATCGAATACAGAACAGCGTTGACGTGTTGACATATTATAGATATATATATTAATTAACGTGACGGGAAAAATCAGCTGACGAAATAAGAAGCAATATCGATCGACCGACTGTCTAACATGCCGATAGAAAGTTGCAAAATGTCGATCCATCGGCATAATTTCATAGGCGGAACCCATAGGCGATCCGCAGCGCGTTTCGCAAACTCGGGTGAAAACACGAGTGATCGGCCAGTATGCAAAGGCCGTATTCCATTTTACCGAATCGCCGCTCAACCTTGCATTCGGTCAGTTTCAAGGAGAATGGGAGTCACGCCATCATATTTTGAGACCCAGTGCCGTAATATCCTTAAAGACTGCGCGAAATTTCATGCAAAAATAGATATAATGGAATTTTTTAATTTTCAATCGGAAATGTGCGTATAAATCAAATCGAACTTATATGTAATGACACTTTCTCTCTTTCAAGAGACTTACTACTTGAACAAGAAAGTACGTGTCGAGGGGTAGAACGTTATTGTTAAGATTGCTATTATGTAAACTCGAACGCTTCGAATCGCGGTCAATTATACTTGAGTCTTCAATGAGGACGGTCTTGTATAAATTACGCGCTTGCAGAAAGATTTTGATGGAAAGTACTTTCAATATAGCATAATCAGTAAAAAAACTTACGCTTCCTTATTAAGTTTAATAACTGATATCGTTAAGCATGAAACTCACATATAATAAGAGATCGACTGTTTGATAAATACTAATTTTATCTCTTAACAGAAGTCTTACGAGCTTACTTATTAAGAAATATACATTTGATTATACACGTTGATAAAGAAATTACCAGAAGTATTGCAATAATATTTGCTCTCGAATTAGATGTAATTCTTAAATAAAATAGGAGATAATTCTTAAGTAATATATTTTAATGTCAAACTAATATTTATTCTACAGCAAATAATTTCTTATTGCTGTAATCTTAAATATTTAGTTTCTAAAAACGGGCGCGAGTAAAATATTTAATTCATAAAGCAGATTAATTTCGGATTCGTATAAACGAAAACATATGTGCTCCGAAACGGCTTACATTAACATACGTGATACAGGAGTTGTAGAACCCGTCAAAACTGGATTTAAAATTGTTCCGACAAATCAATCAACGACGCGGCGTTGATAAAGTAGCTTGTTTTTTAATATATTATTATACCTCGACAGTGAACGGCGAGGCAAAAAATAAGAACGAGCGCACTTGTCAAAATTATTCGAAACGGTGCTCTTGCCGTTTCTCTTTCGTGCCCCCAATCCCCGTGTCGCCAGTTTTACATAATATCTCACCTTAGAAACTCGGCACACCAGTTCCATAAAACCGATCCAATTTTTCATCCAAACGGGTTACATGATCGACGTCGGGGCTGCTAATTTATACGTAAAGTGTGCTCGCGTTCATCGCAGAAAAATATTATCAGGCTAAAGAAATCTTTCCAAGCCTGTCACATCGATTCTTGAAACAGTCTCAGTTTTTTATTCGCACAGAAAAGCTGATGGAAACAATATTCCTTTGTAGTATCGATGGACAGCTTGCAAGGATTAATGGCGAAATTCTATCCGCGTTGTCGAACAACGCGGATCAATCAACCGAGCGACGATTTTCCAGATTCCCGAGAAACCAGGACAAGCTGGTGGGGAATATTTAGGGGATATAAGGTGTAACGAGACAAGGCGACCGTATATACGTACAGGAGTACGAATAGATAGTGAAAGTCCCCCGGAGCTAACAGGAGAGCAGAGAGAGAGAGAGAGGGAATCCAGTAAGGTATATGAGGGCCTCAGTCCGAGCAATCGCCGGTACTCTAGCCTCGCTGTCTACTTATATTCACACACACTAACACTACCACCGACCGCGGGGAAACATGATGCACACCCTCGCGACGGTACGTATCTGAGTGCATCTCATCAGCATCACTGACGTTGTCCTTCTACTCTTCCGGACGTAGTCTTCCTCAATCGCGCCAAAAAAAAAAAAAGCGGAAATCGCGTGTGATGTGATTGTGACTGTGATCAGTGCATATCCATATTGTGAGCCTGACAAAAGTATTCGCTTGGAAAATTTACACGCGAAAAGTTCTGATGAAATTTTATCCTGATTTTCAATTATCTTCTCATTCAGCGGATTTTTTATTTTTTTATGTTTTATCCTCTGTGATTTTTTTACGTTATCAGGAATAAAAATTATTTTATAAAAATGTTATGAATATATAACTATTGCAATAAAAATGCATATCGTAGTTCTTTTTATTACAAAATTATACAAATTTTTGCAATTAAAAATAATGTAAGAAAAAAATGGAGACTTTTACGTCGGAAAAGAATATTAATAATTCATTGAAATTCCTTTCAAGTTCTTGCGTCAATTCATTAATATTTAATATTTCATTTTTTCTGTCATTTATGACTCTGTAATCACCAAGATAATCGACATTAAATTTACGGTAAAAGATTAAACGATCGCAATCAATGGCGTTAAACGTGTAGACTTGGTCGCGTTGCGCAACTCTCTCGTGTGTGATCTTGTTTCCTACTTTCTTCTACATGTCGAGGAAAAATTTATTAACATTTCACCGACTATAACACGTCAGCATCGAGGCACATTTATTTTTATATCGCTCGCGGAAAGAGGATTATATAATTCGCCATTATGTTCGAGCGCGATCGCGTGCGATGGCTGGAAAGTATGTGTAATTGTTGAGATCGGTTGCACCAACATTAGTTAACCATGACAAATCAACCGCATGATGCGCCATACAAGGCACGAACTAATCTTTTTCATCTTCTCTCTCTTTTTTTCCTGCGGTAAAAAAATACTATGTATTTCGAGTATTTTTTCTCTCGCAAAAAAAATTATATAGGGATAGAGGAAAAAGAAAAACCTATTTCAGTTTGTAAGTTTTCCGAGAACATGAAGAAAAATAGAAACGGGGCATAAAGATTGTATAAAATACAAATACAAATTATGAATTAATCAATCAAGTTAATAGTGCAAATATTTGCGCGTACATATAATATTGAATAATAAGTGTCTTAAAAAATAGAATAGACCTACTTTAATAAGCTAACAGCATAATAAATAGACATAATAACACGGCATAAATGATGGACGCAAACGTAAGCGAATAGTATATATACGAAAGGCGGATAATTAATTAATAGCTAATTTAATTAAAATCGCAGTTGCTTAATTGAATTCCAATTTTATCGCATTTCACGCTCGTCCATTTAGAATTACAGGAAGCCTAATATGCAGATCGACTGAATTAATTATTTGTTCTTGTTAATTTTAGAATCGCGCACGCGTCTCATAATCGGGCGCGGTCACGCGTGAGCGATTACGCGATTAATAACTTGATTTATTGACATTTCTATATCGACATCCGCGTACGTTCGTAACGCGAGTTCCGTGACTCGAGAATCCGGTATAATTTCTCGAGCTGTGTGCGGTCCATTCTCGATTGTGTCGCAACGCGCATGTTAAAGTTCCTCAGCTATACAATATCGTTAAGTTCACACGTCAGCGCATAGTGACACAACAGCATTGTCACGAGGTTAACGGTTCATAACTTCGTGACATTACTTACTTATGCCAAGAAATTCCCGTTTTATTTCGCGTCAAACCTTGACGTTTCTTTTGTGTGCAAGTGACAGACATCACGATGACACATCAAATTCGATAAAGAAATATCTGATCATCCTTGCTCAAAATTTCTGCAATATTTGTACATAATTTTTGTAAACTCTTTCACTCTAAATTAAAATTTAGTCTAAAAATTGAATAATTAAACAATCATTTTTGTAACATAATAATTAGAATTGAAAAAAAATCAAAGCTGGTTAAATATGCAAATAACAAACTATAAAAAATCGCAGCACTATTATTTTCTTGTCACATTGACATCCAGACACAACTTAAAAATATAATAATACTGCCATGAAAAATTGACAGCATTTCTACGTTTCAGGTAGCAACAGTGCTTGTCGCGCTGCTGGCGGTGTCGGCACAGCAGTACCAGCAACCGGATCCTAATTACGCCGACGATTACGCCCAGTATGACACGCAACGACCTAGCCAGCCGACCCCACGTAGCTACGCGAGCAACGAAGTGCCGGCTCGTCAATCGGCTGCTGCGAATCCGAAGCCAACCCCAGTGGCGATCCTGAAGCAAATCAATCGCCACAACGAGGACGGCTCGTACACGTACGGTTTCGAGGGCGCGGACGGCTCCTTCAAGATCGAGACCAAATTGCCGACCGGCGACGTCAAGGGCAAATACGGCTTTGTCGACGACACCGGGAAGGTCCGCATAGTCGAGTATGGCGCCAATCAATACGGCTTCCAGCCGGCCGGTGATGGCATCACCGTCGCTCCGCCGACCTTGATCGACGAGACCACCAGCAAGGAGGCTCTCGAGGCGCAGGCTTATCAGGAGTATCAGGAGCAACAGCGACGGCAGCAGCAGCAGCAACAGGCAGCCGCGCGTCCAGCTTATCAACCACCACCACCGACCCAATCGCACACCCAGGCCGTCTACGCTCCGGCGCAAGTAGCTCCGAGCAGACCGGCTCTACCTAAACCACCCATCTTCACCCCAGCTGCACCCCAGACGCCGCGACAGTCCCAGCTGGTGCAGCAGAGTCCGATCTACGACGAGCCCGCGCCGCCCTCGCAGCTCTATAATCAGGGACCAGCGCAGTTCGCTCGGTGCCGAACCAGGAACGTCGTAGTCAGCCGCAGCCTTCCAACGGCGGCAACGGCATCCTGGACCAGCTCGCCAGGGACTACGCTTTGCCTCAGGGAGTCGCACCACCGCTGCACGACATCAGCTTCGGCGTTTACTAGTCCTCTACTCCTTTTTTGTCTGTCGGAGATGGAAGAGTCCGGGATCGATCGCAAGAAAATTTGTACCGTTCAGAAGCTAGAAAAATTATTGCTTATTTTTTTATAGAAGAGATCTACTTTTCATATTATTTTATTTTTAATGTTTATTTTGTTTATAGACAAATTGAAAGAGCTAGAATTGCGATTGATCTTGGTCTCATCCATGTTTTGATTGCGTGTTGGTCTTGTATTTTATTCGTGAATGGGACGCCACGATGACTAATTAACCCGTCAGTGATCACGGCGTAACCCGCTTTTCTCAAAGTCAGCGATAATGTGATTCATGATTGTCGCGAATAGATCGTCCATTATTTAAAAGTCGAGAACTACTGTATTGATATTTGAAATCGCGAGTCGAAAGCTAAGATTCCATTTCATTCATTGCACAATTTCTTCATTAATTATATAATATTTCTCATTCTTCATATTAATTATATAATATATATTCCATCGCTCTGTTTTATGTTCATTATATAATATCTATTTCATTAACAATCAAGATACGTTTTAAGGCAGAAATCATAGATCTCATCTAATTTTCATAATATAACAAAAATTTAATAAATAATGTTAAAGATTAATTTGCATAATTATATCAAATAAATTTTAGCTTTATAGTATTTTTTTTTAATCCAAAAGTTCAATGAAATGATATAAATAAGTTTCTCAAAGTATCATAAAATTTGAATCATTGACTTTTCGAGTAAGCGCCAATCTGGGTCTTCGACTTTTTACACTTCAGCGATTACCATCAATTACTTTTATGAATTTATCAAGTTGTAATGTTAGAATGTTTGACGTCATCTTTTTATCAGTTATTTAAATTATTGTTATAATATTTCACGATTCATAAAAAATTATTTAAATAAGCAGTGGTAACGAAAGAAGTTGTAAAAACTTTATATTCTCTATGTGTAAAGTAAAGGGTGTAAATACAATTTTTCGTCTCTCCCCTTTTCGATGAATGTCCACGTTCGTTTTTACTCTAGAAAACGTGGCTCGCCTTAACAACTCACTGAAAGTGAAGTATCGTTGCGTATTCACGATAGACTCCTGCAAGAATATATACCTTAATTGGACGCGCTTATTACTGTAATTAGATTATTGTAAGGTAATTCGAGTGGAATAAAGTAAGGCCAATACTAAATTCCGTCACCTACTATGGACCGCGTAAAAAACTCCCGTACAATGTCGGCGTAATAAAATTTCCTGATTTCACCTTTCCAATTACGCTCCTCGTTAGACATAAAGGCTTTCGATGTACATATTTGCTGAACGCATAAAAGAAGACTTGAACCACACTTCCGCTATATAATAGTAATCCATACTCAATCCTAATTAATCGCTCTTTGCATATTGTGAGAACACAGTAAAGAAACTTAATTGATTTGCACACAACAATCACGATGCAGACTTTAATTGCGTATTTTGCCAAGCAAAATATCAAACTTCAATGCTCGTAATAAATTTTCTAGCTTATATCTCAAGATTAATATTTTAATTTTAACAGAAAAAAATTACTTGTTCTTATTACAACCAATTTTATTCTGTTTGCAAAATGCACCTATTATCGAATACTTTAGGTGTAATTCGGTAGATTTTTATCTTGAAAAAGAGAACTCTTTTGCCAGAAATTTTAAAAATTTTTCGCAATTTTTATTGCTCGATGCTTTTATGTACGAGCATAGTTGAAAAACGCCTGATGCAATGACGACCAAAATCACATTGTTGCAGAAACGGCTGCATGCGCGATCGCGATTTTATCTCTATTTCTCCTGTTTTACTTCCATAAAGATATTGCGAAATACCGCAAGCAAGGACGGGTCGGATTTCTCACAGGATAAATTCTCGCAGAACCTGGCCTTTATCCTCTCTTCTGCCTTTGGATTACCAAAATTACACGTTCCCACGCTCTGTTTACTGTTTGCATACATACGAATGGGAAATATTTCGCGTAATAATTTCGCCACAATGGCGATTCGGCAAATATTTCTAGAGAGACATCCGTCATTTCTAGAAATATCCATCACAATCGGGGCTTGTGTTGCACTTAACAAAGACGAAGTTCTACTTTCATTCTGGGAAAGTCTCAAGGTAAGCAAGGCCGCGTCGTGTTTGTTATCTTCAGAAATCTTTTCAACGATCGATTCGACTACGCAAAATTCCAAGCGCGTATGCTATATGTAAATTATATTTTAAATTCTCGATAAAATGCGGTCTTGCAGATTTTCCGCAGTTTTTATACGCTTCTAACTTCCGACATCTCTCGCAACGAGTAACCAGAAATAAGCTTACACAAAGTAGACATGATAGACATTTTTGCCATTTATTTATTATAATTATATGTATCTAATAATGATCTATAATTATATATAATTATATATGATTAAATTATTTATGTTTTTACATAACTTACAATTATTTCACATTTATATAACTTCTATAGCATAATTATTTTGCAGTCTTTTTATCTATTATTTGAAGATACAATAATCTTATTTTCGTTTGCATTACTTATGCCGTTGAATTGCACATTTCAAGGGCCGCGTTCCAAAGCGCATAATAAGTACCTTCTTTCTCTCTCCCATCACGTATCGCGATTGCAAGGTGAAGACTCGCATACTCGTGCAACGACCTGTTAATGAAGGGCGTCTTTTATATATTAACACGAAATGTAATAGTAAGTGTAAGATCGTCTTTCGCGATTACAGGACAAATTGCAATGAATACCCTGGCATCGCGCCTAATAATCGCGTTGTAACGCACCTTTTTATGCAAGGCAAGGCATTATACTTGATGTGCATCGACCTTCTCGTATGCAAAGAAACTGTCGTATGGATGCAACAACCTATCGAAGATGGTGGGGGTTTGCGCAACGGTGTTTATACATTATAGTGATATATTGCCAGATGATAAAATGTGTCTGTTGACATTTATTCCTTAGAGAGTGGAAATGCTTATCGAAATAACGTCAATTACCGCGCGACCTTAATTATCTAATTAAAATCATTATTATTCTCATTGAATTGCAGAGTATCGACTAGCAAATAATGATTCGATGATAAAGTAATTATGATTGTTCGTGCTTCGTACGAGATTTGTAACGTAGCAAAATCACGCGTCTTTTACGAGATTACACGCGCTTAAAACTCGTAATCGGGCCGTTGACACTTGTCAACCAGGCGAGTCACGCGTAACGTTTCATCGGATTTCAACATTAAACGACGACAGACTGGCAGGCTTCACCTACCTAGCTCGATTGAATTTATGTTCTCCATCGGAGTTGCACGAAATCTACGATAATGCAACCGTTGATGCAAGCGATCGTGACTTTCGATCGAGACTCGGCGAAAATTTGGAGAAGAAATAATTAAAACGTTCCTACGTTGTTTTACAATTTGCAAGAAGCAGTTCACTTATATTTACCTGATCTCCTTTTCTTTTTGTTAGTCTTAGAAATCGAATTTTTAATTATCTGTTCAATTTGTATTTTTTAAATTTGTTTATGTATATCGTCTACGCATGATAAACAATCATCAAAAAATGTGCATTTAAATAACTTATTATTAGTTATTCAAAGATCCCAAACGAGAAAACGAAAAATTGAAGAATAACGACGAATTCCACGCAAATACATAACAGAGTGATAGTATCCGCCCGAATAAATTTTTGCGTAATACCAGAAATAATACTGATCGACTTGCGAGTTTGCACGCAAGTTACGAGAGGGTAACGAAGATATGTAATGCTACCGTAAAGACCGGATCTGTAGTGTAGTGCGAGTGTGAAAATAACCGCGTGAAAATAACTTTCCCCTTCGAAAGTTTTAAGACGGTCAGCTGAGCGCCGCGAAATCTGCTCGCGATCAGGAACGCAGCTTTGATAATGTGAATTATGTATGTACGCGCGGACACATAATCAAGATATCTATCACATCACGCGATATGTATATGTATAGTTCTGTCAATAATTATGAATTATATTTTCTTCTTCGATAGACAACTCTCTAAAGATTCCTCTTCTCAAATTTTTTTCTTATACACGTTCGAAAATTTGTATATCTATTATACCCAGTTTGCTGAAATACACTCGTATAATACTTTGTGAATCACGTGGCGCGAAAATTTTGACAGATTATAGAAACTGAAAAATTTATTTGTATAATCTTTTGCGTAAAATATTTTAATATATTTGTTCACAAAATACACGCAGATATTAATTATTAATAGCAATGATTATTTAATATAAAGACACGTCTTGGTTGTTATAATAACGTAAATCCATCAAGTGATTATACAAGCTTTACTCATTACTGCGAGCAACTTTCATATTCCCGTCACAACATTGTATACAGCTGGTAGCCGAGCTAAAGACGATCAGCTGAGCGTGAGGCAGAAAATACCGCAGCATTGATAATGAACCGAGCGTCTAGGCACGTGCCACTGCTCCGATCCTCGCGCGGAGAGATGAATCGATGCTCCGAGAAATAATAACATCGTGTGCCGCCGGCGCCGGCGAACTCATCCGTTCGCCTCTCGTCTTCTTTCCATTGATGATACCGAGAGCGAGCTCGAATTATACGCCTCTGTTCGATTTAATGAAAGCGACTGTGAATGCGATTTCTTCCGAGAAACCGGCTTCGCGCTATATTGACATAAATTTCGCGATTAAATTTAAAGCTGTTGCTGCACATCGCTATAAAATCCCTATGAAATTTTACGATAATTTCGCTAAGTTTTGACACAATCAATTGCGACACGAAAATCAATGATTCTCGCGGGATTAAAGTATCTAATTTTTATTTCATACTACGTAGTTGCATGAATGTAGAATGAAATTATAATGCAAAACTGCAGTGGCATTTAATTACTATTCCTCATAGAATTTTTATTTAAGTTGATTTTAGAATTGATCGAATTTGAAAGTAAGGAGAGGCAATCGTTGATAATTATTTTTGTTCCACCAGCTGATAGATGTGTGAAGAGAGAATCAACTATATCAATTACATTCTATAAGTATTCTTCTGTCCATAATATATGAAAGCGAAAGCGCGTCATCGTCTTTTACGTTTTACTTGAAGACGGTGCGAATGTTAGTTGCTTCGCAACTACCGTAAGAAAATAGAAACATCAATTATCCTCTGTGATTCTCCCAAATTAATATACATCGTTCTCGCGGCATTCAAGACCAGCCTAGCCACAATGTTAGCCACTCCACACGTCCGTCACTTTCTTCTTCTCGCCTCTGTATATGCGCGTGTATTATTATTATATTTACGATCCAGTAGATTAACACTTCACAAGACCATTTCTGCTGATATGATTACTCATATTTGCTATATTATAATATCAGCGATACCGTTAATAGAAAACACTGCGTCGTTTCTATTTTATTCAATCTCACAAAGCTGAAGATATCCGACGATAGCCTTTTAAGGAGAAGAAAAATAAATTTTCTTTTCTATTTGAATTATCACAAATTTTGTAAGCAATCATTACTATAAATACTCTAATTTATATCATTTATTCATTTAACTATTATTAATTGTTATTAAATTATTAAATTATTTGCATCGGATATATTGCATCGTATTTTTTAGCACACCTTTATAGTACTGTATCTTGATTAATGTTAAAATATACAGTGTATTTGTCAGAGCTTAATGCAACAAAGCACTGAAAAGAAGGCTATTAAATGGCTTCTATAGAACGTATATCAGTCACGAATGTATCTCGAATATATATCCGCTTACGTGTGCAAATTTTTCTCACGACCCTGCTCGATCTGGTCTATCGCTCGATCTAAACTTTCCGTACCAATCCGCCGTGCGCACTCACACAATACATGTTATTTGCACGCACTTATAATTAGGCAATGTAGAATTGTGGGTTTTGAATTGATAATGATTGTGCGATTATATGAGCACACATAAAGAAAAGTGGAATATTATTATCAATGAAACTCCGATAGAAAGAACAAACATATATCACATAATCATACTTCGCTACGTAATTAATAATAACACGACTGTAGCTTTTAACTATACTCGCAATCGGGAACAAATGATTCGATAAATTTTATATGACTGATTTTAAGTGTAAATTACATAAATAATTGTAAATTATTAATTACGCGCAAATTATTAATTATCTCGACAATCCCACGATAGTATAAATATTAAAGTAAAATATATCACATCGAAGAAACCTGCTATACATGTTGTAACATACGTTAGATCGATATAATTAATACCGCTATAGCGTGCTGATTATATTTCTGCCGAATACCCGGAGGATACCATTACTCCTAGACCAATCCTATCTTTTCACATCGTATGCTTCGATACGCGCTGACAATCTAATTTGACACGGGGCACAACGGAACGTTGTTTGAAGGCGCGCGCGTAGAAGCGGGTTCTCACGACCCTGGCTCGATCCGCGGTACCTTTCGGGTGTTCGATGCGACGCGACGCTTCTCATCCAACATTACGCGCGAGTCAAATGCGACCCGTGTATCGCGTAATCGGAAAGAGATTTGGCAATGGCCGCCCCCCTGCGCACCCCCTAGAACCTAATTCGCGGGTGTCGCGGTGTCGAAGAGGACGTAGTCTCGCTGTATCCGCGGCCCGACGAGGCCCCCACTATAGACAAAAGCCTTCGTGTAGGTTATAAAGGACCGAGCACCGTACTATACGGCTGCACTCTCTCAGTGAAACTCACGGAGGACCGTTCCCCGGCACACAAAGTAGTATACATATACATATAAACCTCCCCCTTCTCGTCTCGGCAGCGCGTGCACCATGAGGATTATATTGCTGGTATGTACGAAATTATTCAAGTTTGTCGAGAAGGTGAAATTTACGGGATGTGTGTCCTCTTTTCTTAATTAGCTACTTTATCTTTGAGACTTAAATTTTTTTTTTTTCGAAAGTTTAGTATATACGTTCTCTGTGTGTTTCACTTCTTTCTCATATTAATCGGATTTTATTGCGCGTAATATGAATGAAATGTTAAATTTGTGAGAGACTGACAGACAGAGCATTCTCATTTATTAAAAGCACAATATTTCAAATGTATATATATATATATATTATAAATTATAATGTATTAAACATTGTAATATATATTATCAAAACGTTATTCAAGTGCATAAAAAAGTCTAAAAGAAATCTAAATAATTTGTTCAAGATTTGCAATAATTTCATTTATATAATCTACTTTATGTGATGTATGCATTATTATTAAATACACTAATATTTATTTTTAATATTTAGATAAATTAAATATAATATATTTAACCTTTTTCATGCTAAATTATATATACACGTACATAATAGATATATTTTTATTATTAATAATAAGTGATAAAAAATCAGTATCATATTAATTAAATTGTATCATATAAGACATAAGACAAATTTAAAAAAAAAAAAAAAAATCTTTTACGGTAATTGTGATTTGTGACTCAGCAGCGTCTCTAAAAAAATGTCGCTCGTTATCCTGTGACCTGTATAAAATTAACCATGCAGGAAAGTCCGGAATTCGATAAGATCTACGTGGTTCATTGTTGCAATTCGTGCGCACGCGTGTGAAGGCACTTATAATTCATAGACGACGCATGATTAACAACAACGGAAAGTGAATTGTGTCCGCCCACACACGCGGTGTTCCGAATATGGTTACGAGAATTTCCACTGGAAACTCCCTTCTGTCGTGAATTCGTGCGAAAGACGCGCGAGGAAAGTGCTGAAGAAGAATCCGAAATTGCAACTGTTCTTCTCGCGAATAGTCGCGAATTAATTGTATATCCCAGGCCGCGAGTTGTTGACATCGTCGGTTACCTTAATGAACGCGCAGCCGGGCGACGTAATCTTTTGTTGAATGGGAAAACGGATTCGCGCCTCACACAGCAGAAACACACTTTACTTAAGCCCTGCAAGCCGCGAATATTCTGCTCTGCAATCAGTTATAGCTTCGACATTTTTTTTTCCGATTATTTTATACTCATTACGTGATTCTCTTGATTGATAGTGAAAGTTCTGTCTATTATATTCCGGTGCATTGTTACCAGGCACGCTAGGTTTGCCATTTTCGAGTCGGGTTGCTTCGCAGACACGACATTATACTTTCTTTATCCGCAGAGGCTTTTGTGATGACAGTAAGTCATTATCAAATGAGAGTCATATCCGAGACTAATCTAGATTTCATCGCGCACCTACTCAAAAGCTCATAATTATCAATTATCAAGCGCGTTCTTACACCTTATAAGCGACCTGTCTGTCAAGATCTTGTGAGAATAATATTTAATAATCTCAGATTTCACTTCTATGCTCTGTGGGCTTAATTTGCAAATCGTGCGAAGAAATGCATTAAAATTCGCGAATATCAACGCGATTTCTCTCGATTCCCTTCCCGCGACTCGGTATTAACGCGATAATTAAACGCTTGTTAATCATTCACGCGTATTTTCCATGTGACGTTTATTTCTCTATATGGTTTTTTCTTAGCTGATCTCCCAGGGAGATTCGTTGCGAGATAATCGCGAGAGGAAACGCAAACGATCTCGCGTTTCGATTTTACATTACCGTGATGGAGACCAGATTGCTCTGCCAGATGCGTGCGCGTTTCATGGCGGAACGCCTCGAGTTGATCGAAATCGGGCACGATCGTGTTCGATCGATGGCCTAAGTGTCTCGACTGGTACGATTATTGGCACTTTCACCGATCACACAAATATGGAACGTCCGTGTTTTCGCGAAATTTTTGCCGACAATATGATCATGGGCGTTCGCAGAATTTTTTTAGAAGGGGACATAATTAATTTTTTTTTTCATTTTTTTAAATTTAATTTATTTTATTTTAATTTTTTTAAATATTAAATATAAAATAAATTCCAGTGTTTATTTAAAAGGAAAGCAAATGTTTATTTCTTTTATTAAATCCAAGTGGGAACAGAATCCTCTCTTGCCCCCCTTTGCGGACGCCCATGAATATGATACCTCAGATGTTTCGACCAATCAGTTTCCCTCTCGATGAACGAATCGTTCGATATCGAAAGCAGAAAGTGTCGGAAAAATATGTTTTAAAAAATGAGAGTTAAACATTTCTCGCGCGAAAATGGATCAAGAGCACGGATCCGACAGCGAGAAACCGCGACGAATAAGACGTCGGTTTCCAATGACGCAGCTCATCGTCTATCACGAGACCGAATAAACTCGCGCTTTTTCCCCCCGTTCGATCAAAATCATTCGAGCACGAACTGATGATGTGCAACGCGTCAAAAAGATGACCTATCCGCGATCGTCATCGAGAAACCCGGTTTCCCGGCGCCGTTAGAAACCCGACGAGACGACGACAAGAATCGACAAATGGAGAAACTTCACGGAATTGCGAAAGCGAAGCTAATATAATATAATAGAAGCAAATCTTTTACTTTGACTTTCAGCGACAATTTTTCGGCGATAAACGATTCTCGAAGACTTCTATTCGGCGGTGAATCCTTTTGCAAACCTTAAAGACAAGATCCGAGCCAGTATTATAGTCTCTCTTTAAGACCACCTTTTTACCGTTGTTATGTAATAGAAAGTCGGATTGTCGCGTGCTTCTTAATTATCCCGTCTTATCAATTTACAGATATAAATGCCTTCAACGGGAAACTGACAGCATTAAATACCACAACTTGCTAAACTTAGTTTTTTCCTGCAAATACGGGATAATTAATATTTGTACGCTTTTTAAAAGTAAACCGCGAAGTTTCAGCGCGAAACATTGCCGTAACTGCCCGGCTAATTAGCATTCTAAAGCGGGCTTTCCCGTTTTTGCGCGTGGCCATGATGGCAATATTCTCGTAGTCTCATTAGGCAGCCAGTTGAAAAGAAAATGTGAGAGCGAGAATATATATCGCGCAACGTGAGGCTGGCAAATCCATAAATTAAGGGCATGCCGATCTTTCGAGCGGTCGTACCTTTCGAAACGCATACGGCGCCGTGTTGGTATATATTATAATTACACCTGGTATTGTGGATGCACGCAAACGCATTAACTAAGTTTGCCGGATAAGGCAACAAATATTATGTAGGGTAGTTAGTTTAGAAATATCAGACACTATTGCAGACATTGTTGAGAGATCGCGTCTAACAATAAAGCTGAAACCCTCAATTACAGTGATGAGATTACTCGATTCATTTCGAGTGGAAAAATCTTTCGCGCGGAAATTTGAATGGATATTTCATTTCATTTATAATCTTTCACATTCAATATTAATCTTTAGATCGAGATTCTATATAATTACAGTTTCAGCTGGAAATTTAACTGTAGATTAAATTTACCTACTTATCAAAAATATACACTCACTCCAAAAGAAGCGGTACATTTAAAATTTGGAAGAAAATCAAAATTTAAATGACGATAACTTCGTAAATAATAAAGATAGAAACGTTTCTAAAAAATGAAAATAAAGCTTGGGATTTCCACTTTAAGAATTTATTTATTTCAATGTAGCGAGATAAATTTATTAAAAATGGCGGATGATAAAACGAGAACATGCAAAATTGAAAAATAATGATTCGATTTGCCAAGGTACATGATGTGAGTCAAATGTCGCAACTAAATGAGATAAAAAGCATATGATAGTATAGAGTCTCCCCTTTAAAATACTTTTTTATTCATGTCGATACCATAATTTTTCACCGAGATATTTGCATTTGAATAAAAAGGCAGCTTTTTACTTTAAATGCGAATAACTCTGCGAAAAATCATCGTATCGAGATGAATAAAAAAGCATTTTGAAGAGGAGACTCTGTACTATCATATGCTTTTTATCCATTTAGTTACGACATTTGACTCACGCCATGTATCTTGGCAAATCGAACCATTATTTTTCAATTTTGCATGTTTTCGTTTTATCATCTGTCATTTTTAATAAATTTATCTCGCTACATTGAAATAAATAGATTCTTAAAGTAGAGATTCCAAGCTTTATTTTGATTTTTAGAAACGTTTCTATCTTTATTATTTACGAAGTTATCGTCATTTAAAACTTGGTAAATTTTTTTTCAAATTTTAATTATATCGTTTTTTTTGGAGTAAGTGTATAATGCTAAAAAAACTTGAAAAATTGACGAAAAAAATCCATATCGTAAAATAAAGTTGCGAGAAAATTGAGATACGCCGAATTATTTATTCACTTTCAACTTTCCCGCGGTACTTAAAAAAATATATATGAAACCGAACGCTGACCGAATGACATTCTAATGATAAAGAAAAACGAAAGTTAGAGAAGTACGAGCGCGCAAGGCTGATTAGTCTCTAGTAAATGCGAATCGTGGCTTGGCGCGGTTTCGCTGGCGAGACGGAAGAAAGTGAGAGCGAGAATAAGAGCTCCATGCGGAACGCGCAAGTAGAGTTCTAAGCGAGTCCGGTCAGCGAGCTGTCAAAAGACAAGGGCGCACACGCCGAACGCCATCGAACACACAGCATACCAATGCGCGACCGACGCCCATATACACTCGAAATGAGTCACGCGTTCGCTCTGGCATGTCGCGAAATCACTCTCCATGTATAGATATACATATATACGAGTCTGTCATTTTTTTCCCTCGTAGAGCACCGCCTTTGTTACCGCCGCGAGTTGCACTTTCAAATATTTGTTTCGGCCTTACACGTGAGAACAATCGCACTGGGACTGTTTATAGGCGCGAAGAAACAGAGTTCTCTCGCCTCGTTCTCACTTCCGGCGGATACCGAGTTAACCAGACGACAGGACGACGCGTCCGGTGTCTCTTCTCTTCTCGATCGCACGCGCGAGACGTCCTCACCT